TTATGAGATGATCAGTTTTTACATCTTTGTTTTTGGAATGAGGAGGACGTTTATAGTTCTGAAACCTACTGTATGTTCTCATGATTAAACTCATTTCTTCAAGAAGATCAAAGAAGCATTGATTTCTCAGAGTGTAATTCACAGTGTTTGAGTTACTCTGTCTATTGCATCTTTTCCAACATCATTTCAGTTCATAGGTCTTCTATTCGGTGCTTTTATTCCTGATGTCTAACCAGATAGAATGCCTGTGGTAATTGATTACAGCTACATAAGCAGCTCTAATCTTACTCAGGGTTGGACGGTTACAGGTAAACATGAGCTGTTGTATTCACTGAACACACAGAGCATATCCAACACGGCCTCACGACGGTCACAGGAGATGGTCAAACACAAATGGGACACGCTTCAGAGTAAACACACACCCGTGAAAGCATGACATGAAGATGCTCACAGAAGCCCTGATCGCAAGGAGAGCTGCAGCATATGGTCAGAGTCAGATCAGCGTTTGTGGGGCTGATTCTCAGGACAGTGACGCCCCCTGGTGCTCGAGGGTCATGTGATATGCTGCAGCTTCCCCTGTAAGGTGGCATGCAGGGATGATCTCTCAGCGATGCTGGGCGCTGGGTGTGTCATTCAGACATACAGTCTGTTTATGTTTAAAGAGCCCATGAAATGCAGGAAGCCAAAACCCGGATAGGAGGATTTTTGCACTTTTGGTAACATCGCCCTGAAGTCAAAGGTTTTTTTTTTTTTATGGGTTTTTGGTTAAAAGACTCAAGCACGGTCTGTGGTTAAAGGAAGAGTTCATCCAAAAATAAAAATTTGCTGAAAATTCAACCAAGACATTAACGCCTCTATGATGGATTTGTTTCTTACAAACACGCAGCTTTAGTCTTCTCCAGATGTTAACTGATGAACTGGAGTGCTGTGGATTACTTGTGGATTATTGTGATGTTTTTATCAGCTGTTTGGACTCTCATTCTGACGGCACCCATTCACTGCAGAGCATCCATTGCTGAGACACTGATGCAGTGCTGCATTTCTACAAACCTGATGAAGAAACAAACTCATCCTAATCTGGGATGATCAGAGGGTGAGGACGTTTTAATTTTTGGGTGAACTATTTCTTTGAAACTAGCTCAAGATATTTTATTCTAAGACAAAACACATTAGTAATATCCACTTGTGATTTTTTAAAAAAGTTTTTACTTGTCTTGAAAAAGGCGGACATTAAACAAAACATCACACGTCTGATCTACTCACTAGTTGTTTTCACAGCCTCACTGTCTTTATAATCACACTATTCTAGCTCAAATTTCCGGGGAAAATGTTCTTAAATAAAATCTGAAAGAGCGGTCTGTATCCTAATGGTGGTGATGGTGGAGTCATGTGACCATGGTTTAGTTTGTTTATAGCCTGCGTTTAGCTCTTTACTTCTGCCAAATATATTTAGGTTTCAAAATTCATAAAAGTTATGTTGATTTGTGAAGATGATCTAAACGTGTAAGCACCATAAACTTGTGTTGGACATAGAGCTTATTTTTTTGTCAATGTTTAGGGGTAGATGAGCTCAAAATGAACAGACGTTAGCTTTAGACTAAAAGACACAAGGCTCTCGTTTTTTTTCTCTCAACATTTTTGTAATACATCTTTGACTGGATGGGTTTCTGCATGCCCCCTTACAGAACACCAGTACGCCATCTTTAACTTAAGTCTCCGGAGGTCTAAAGTAGGGATGGCTGACACGAAACTCACGTTTCGGCACGGTGTCGAGATCCCGAAGCGCAGATGTTTCGAAACACTGCTCCGAAGTGTGATTCGAAACACCCATGTCACGTGACTAAGGCGATTCAAAGCATCGGGGCGTTTCACAAGTGTTTAGAAACCCGAATCTGCTTTTGATCGACAGGGTCGGGAACAAACCACACAATCGCACATCTGTCTCAATCTAACTCCCGCAAAGTATAAAAGTGGAGTTAATGCAGCAGAACAATTAATATATTTAAACAAAAATGTTTATCTGTAAAAACTGCCAGGCGTTGTGGCTTGATGTCTTTTCTTAATGTTAATTACATTATAATTCATCAATTCGCTTAAAGGTGACATATCATGAAAATCTGACTTTTCCAGGTTTTAAGTGCTATAATAACCATTAAGTGCATCTACCAACCAAGGAAACGTGAAAAAGATTAACTCAGTAACTTTGTTTTGGGAAGCCTTTTTCTGAAAGCGTCTGAGAAAACGAGTGCGTCTGATTTCGCTTCCTTGGTGACGTGGCAAAGGGATCTCATTATAATATTACCGCCCCTTAATCTGTAAGTTTCCACCCACGGCGCCGTCATTTGATTTCGCAAGCGACAACGGTGTACCAGCTCTAACGCCATGATGAAAGTTTGAGCAAAGCATGCTAACTGTTCTGTGTTTGGCTGCACAGACGAGCACAGAACACTGTTTAGAGTCCCAGCCTCAGACGAGACGACAGAGCAGTGCATTTATTGATTTATTTACTGTATATTGCTGCTGCCACACAGATCTAAAATAAACATGCGATTTATTTCCCAGCTGTGTACCTTCATAGACATAACCGACTGTTTTTTGTAACTCGTGTGTGTTTTTAAGGTAAGCTTGTGTGTGAATGAGAACTTAGTTTAGTACTCACATGCTGTGACAGCCGCTTTCTGTGCGTGTGCTTCGGATGTGTGCGCTCAGAAAACCGTATATCAGAAGTTTAAACTAATATGGTTTAAAACACATGATTTCAGCGCGATAAACATGATAATCAGAACCAAAACAGATGCTTTTAGCAGATACGAGCGCAGCTCTATTCTGGAAAAGGGGGCGGGGAGCAGCAACTCATTTGCATTTAAAGAGACAGGCACAAAAAACAGCATGTTTCTGCTTCCACTCAAAATAGGCATTTTCAAAATAATATAATAAATGATCTGTGGAGTATTTTGGGCTGAAATTTCACAGACGCATTCTGGGGACACCAGAGACTTATATTACACATTGTAAAAAGGGGCATAATATTTCTCCTTTAACTGATTCGCTGCCAATGTTGTTTCAGAGCAATACTTGAGAATGACAACAAGGTGTCACCGTAGAGACGGGTGTTGAATTGTTTCGAAGCCTCGACACATTTGGTTCGACTGTTTCAGTGTTTCACGAAGCCTCGCTCTGCCCACCACACTAGCTATGAACACAGTCACACAGCAATGGTTCCGGTTTCTGACGTGTTTTCGAGATTGAAAAAATAGAGCAAAAAAATGCGAAAAATCAATAAACCTCCTGAAAGAAATGCCTTTTTTTTTATATAAACGGTTATTAAGTTGTTTGTGTTACAAATAATATGACACTCCTTGTATTCTTGTCTCTGAACAGATTTATTTGTTAACACTTTATTTTACTCTTATTTTATTTTCTGTTTTGCTTTCTTCTGTATGCTACCTAGTATATCAAAGTGTCTATTTTAAAATAATACCTCCCTGTATGTCTATAGTATATGATGTAAAAAATGTTGGTAAATGCCATAATTGTCTGTTCCCATTTTCTTTGTGTAAAAAAGAGAGAACAGATCTTTTGTACTTTGATATGTTTTTACTTTCAGATCCCAGACAGAGGAACTAAACGTTGCATTATGTTGACTGAATACATTGATGAGAACTGAGAAGAATCTCCTGTAATAACCACACAGTTACATGACCAGAAACAGAATGTCATCAGCACATCTGCCATCTGCCAGCACAGTTTCGGTGCATCTTTACACAGTTAAGGCTGCTCTATGCCTGCACAAAATTCTGTGTGAAGACATAATGCTGCATGAAAGCCTGACTAAATGATGCCAGCTCGACACACCCCAGTATTAAAGTATATGGCTCTCGTTGCAGTGTAAATGCATTCATGCCACCTCCGAGCAGCTTTAAACAGCCGGTGTAAAGACAGCTAAAAGCCACTTCAGAAGCGCTTCTGTGCCAAATTTATGCCAATGTGTAAATTTGGCCAAAGAGAAGTGTGACAAAAACACATTCTTCAGTGTCATATGACGATATGTGTCATCTTGCCAAGCCAATTAAGGAGGCGTCATCGCCATATAATTAAACCTGCGCAAAGAATCATGGGAGTGAAGTGTCCATCCACAGTGAAATCCTTTAAGGGCACTTTGAAGTGGCCCTCACTGTGAAGTGCCCTTCGTAGGCGGACTGATGCCGTCTGGAGCGCAGGTAATGAAGTCACACCTGTATAACCAGTCCGCTGTCATACCACACACTGCTACTGAACTACCCTGAAGGAGAAAAGCAATTAACTAACGCCGCGATGAACAACGCTGTCATTTACAAGGTGAAGAACATTTTGAATACACAGCAACACACACACTGATGCCTTGATGCTATAATGCACACAATATTCATCAAAACAATCAGCAAGTACACATTCGCACACACACAAAGATATTTATACATATACTCAGATTCACCCACTTCAACCAACAAAAAGGATCAAATAAGTTTTTTTGAGACTTCATATCATCTTACCTTTTTTTCCACATTTTTATTGCATTGTTCATTCTTACAGTATGTGTTCTTTTCAAAATCTCAAACATTAGTGTGCACAAACTCTACTTATTAAGTATAGTTAAAATATGAGGGTTTTTATGTTGCTTCAGTCCTGGCGTCCATTATAGTGGACATCAAAAAAAAATCTAATAAAAAAAATTAGTTGGCACAAATCTTGTTTTTTAGACTCGTTTCTCTCTCTTCTGGATAAAAAAAAATTGTTATGTGAAAAAAATCCAGGTCTGAAGGGGTTAAAGTTTTGAAGAAAACAACACGAAGACGTAGCTCATGAATATTAATCAGATCGCGTTGGCGTTACTTGGAAACCTTCCAATGCTCTTCCAATGTTAGGCTCCGCCCACCGGCGCTACAGTAACAGTACAGTGCGCCTGACACACACCTGAGATCAGAGCAGAGAGACTCAGCTTTCACAGAACCGAAGCCCACAACAGGACAGAATGATAACGACTAAGAGTTTGCAGCGATGGAGACAGTTTTAGTGATCGCACTGTGTTTGCTCTGGACAAGAACATCAGGTAAATATACAAATCTTTCTTCTCACTCTCAACGCACGAGTCTGTGATTTCTTATTTTTAAATAATTGATCTCTCCTGTTCGTTATGTCTAACCTCTAAGTCTTTCACAGCCATGATATTTATGACATTATATTTCTCATTTTAATGTCATGTGTGATTACTAAATAATAACGATATACAATAGAACCATATCAGTCACTGTGGCTAATGAAGTTTACATATATCTGTCATTTCAAGACTATCTGGAGCTATTTCAAGAGAGGTGTTTCAACCCAACCCAAGATGTTCATTTTCTGTTTTATGACAGTCAAGTGTAATCTTTGTGTAATCTAAGTGTAAAAAGTCAAGCCTCTTTTATGGATGCTTTACAGCACATAATAAAACAGCATCCAGAAACATGTGTTTTCACATTAAAGCATGAGTTCATATAATGACAGGAGCTCCTGTCTGGTTTTATTTGTATTAGTATTTTAGTTATTAGTTGTTTTATTTATTGATTATTATTAGTGTTGTTTGTTATACACACATTGATGCTTTGATTTTTTTAACATCAGCTTCAGGAACAACAGGAAGCAGATTCTCTCTTCTGCCTCTTCCTGTGGTTTTAAGAAATCTGATTTATTTGAACAATGCCTGCATTTCCTGCTGACGCTGTGAAGCTCTGAAAACGGGATACAATTCAATAAGATGAGATGAACTTCAAGACGTTGAACATGGTCTGTGTGCATACAAATCTTAGAAAGTAACTGTTGGTCTGCTTTATTGTAGCGTCATCAGTTGAGCGACCGCCTGAGCCTCGTAATGTTGACTTCTACTCCGAGAACCTGAGGAACATTGTGAGGTGGACTCCAGCAGCAGGATCTGCCAACGGCACCGTCTACACGGTGGAGTACGCCATGTGAGTGATCGTGCTCAGAGAATCATCCACGCTCGGCCTCAAACATCATAGGACTCACACGAAAATGTGTCACTGCATTCGATTTAAACGATCAAAGCAAGTGTCATTTATTTCTAATCAAATGTCCTTATACACATGCTAATATTCACATTTATGGGGTAACTTTTGAAAAGGTACCACCCAAGTGACATCTTTTGTACTTTTTGTTTGAGAGTGTGGTATTGATGGGAAAATGCAATCACTTTACTGACTTGGAGCTTTAAATCTCATTGACAAAAATGAGCAAATCTTGAATCAAGCAATTTCGAATTCCAATTTCAAAGTCAAATTAAAATGTCAAAATTACCCACAAACATGTCAAACTTATGCAAACTTTGATCTAGTGTTACTTTAGTATCATTAAAATACTACTGTAGTCTTTAGGGTTTTAGGTTTTGAATTAGTTTTTATTTTCATACTTTTATTAACAATTTGAGTTTGACTCACTTTTTTGTGTGTTTTGTCATTTTTAGTATTATTATTTTTAATATATGTGTAATAACATTTTGTATTAGTTTTCATATTTTTGTTATTTTAGTACATCAAGTTACGTCAAATTAAATAAAAATGAGAAGCGTTGCCTTGGCCACTGAAATAAAATAAGTTCAACATTTTTCTATTTTATTTTATTTCAGCTAGTGCTGTCAAACGATTAATCACAATGACTCACATCCAAAATAAAAGTTTTTGTTTACATAATATACGTGTGTACTGTGTATATTTATTATGCATATATAAATACACACACATACAGTATATATTTTGAAAATATTTACATGTATATATTTATATTCATATAATTTATATCATATATAAATATATTTAATATATAAACGTAATGCATGTGTGTGTATTTATATATAGATAATAAATATACACAATACACACACGTATATTATGTAAACAAAAACGTTTATTTTGGATGCGATTAATCATGATTAATCGTTTGACAGCACTAATTTCAGCTAATATTTATTTTATTTCAAGCAACAAAAATTTTAGTTTTTTTATGGTTTTAGTATGTTAACTATATCAACCCAGTTTGAATAGCTGCATCTCATTTCGAATGCTGCGTCCTCCGGAGGTGATAACATACTATAGTAATTTATAGTAAATACTAAAGTGTTTTTTAACCATACTATAGTAAAGTACTTGAATTAATTTGTTGTGGTAATTCTGTAGTTGCTGTGGTAATACATAAACAAATTACTTGACCCAGTACTGTACTAAGTTTTCTACAGCTATAGGGTATATTATACTACAATACACTACAGTAAAAACTAAAGTATACCACAGTATTTATTACAGTTTGTCAGTTCACTACAGTATGCTGTAGCATTCAATAACAAAGTGTTGTACATACTATAATATATACAGTATAATACACTTTACTATAGTATGGTTCAAAAACACTATAGTATTTACTATAAATTAATAGTACTTTTTCATGTGGGATTTGTCGGCTGCATACGTGAGGCTACTTCATTTCAGGAAATTAATCGTTACATTCCAAAGTGAGAAAGAAATGACAGTAAGCTCAGAAGTCAATTGTATTTACATGATGAAGAACAGAGACGTTAGTGGAGAAAGAAAACATCTCGCACAAGTATTCTGGAGGTGCTCTGCTTCCCTGAGCTGTTATCGTGACGTGAATCATTCTGTTGTCCTGCAGTTACGGCGATGAGGAGGAGAGCGGCTCTGAGCGGGTGAGGTGGAGGCGTGTGGAGCACTGCTCCTCCGTCACACAGAGCGAATGTGACGTGTCTCAGCAGACCTTTAACCTGGAGGAGGACTACTACGCCAGAGTCAGGGCCGCCAGCGCAAACACGCAGTCCGTCTGGACCGAGAGCATGCACCGCTTCAGCCCCGCGCTCCACAGTGAGTGCACTGTCTGCTGATGAGTGCTGCCAGACAAAACAGCAAACATTGTACCTTAATAGGGCTACAGCAGCTTGTCACTTAGGCAGAGCCCTCAAAGAGACACCGTTGTACCTTCTTTAAGCCTGAATGGTGCATAGTCAAACCTTACAGTAGTAATATGTGACCCTGGATTACAAAACCAGTCATAAGGGTCAATTAAAAAAGGTCAAAGTAAGCTTTCCATTGATGTATGGTTTGTTAGGATAGGACAATATTTGAAAATCTGGAATCTGAGGGTGCAAAAAAATCTAAATATTGAGAAAATCATCTTTAAAGTTGTCCAAATGAAGTTCTTAGCAATGCATATTACTAATCAAAAATTAAGTTTTAATATATTTACGGTAGGAAATTTGCAAAATATCTTCATGGAACATGATCTTTACTTAATATCCTAATGATTTTTGTCATAAAAGAAAAATGGATAATTTTGACCCATACAGTGTATTGTTGGCTATTGCTACAAATATACCCCAGCGACTTAAGACTGCTTTTGTGCTCCAGGGTCACATGTGTACTCTTATGCACTCTTTAGGGGTAAAAAAGGTAAAGGTGTCTCTATTAGGGCTCTGCCCCAGTGACAGGCTGTTGTAGCCCGAAAGTTAAAATTTTTGCTCTTTTTTTTCCTGAGATTGTGGATGGATGGCTGTTTTGGTAGTTTGTTCATCATTGTTTATTTGAGCCTAGATAAAGTATGAAGATGAATAATGATCAGCTTGACACTGAGTTGCTGTATGTACTGTATGTGAATGTTTAGACAATTTCAGTCCCTCCCTTTTTTACCATAGTAAACATAGTTCCTGCCAAAATACCATAGTTAATGCAGTCATTGTTAGTAAACCTTCTATAAAACATTTCACATTCAGACTGTGTAAAAAGCTTTCACAATCTTTCTGCCTCAAGAATGCAAGAATTAACAAGAACTGCAGTGATTATGGTGTATATAATTACTGTACATACAGATTCTACTTCCTTAGATTTAGAAATGACTCGTTTGTATCCATGTGTGACTGTGTTGTTGATGCCAGTAATAACACTGTGGCACATGAAACAATAATGACACAACAAACAGGCGGCGTATTCAGATATTTCTGACTATTATCCACTGTTCGTGGCAAATCATTAAACTCCGCCCCCGAGAGCCACGCCCACTCCTCAGCATCCAATCAACAGCTGATGCACAGAACCAAGTCCCCGCCTTTTCCGAAAATCACTGCAATACATTTCCTCAAGAATTCATGACCACATATTTATTCATTTGATAAGTAACAGTGTAAATAGCAGGATAATGCACGGTTATTACTGCGAAATAATCCGGCAGCTCAATTCAGCTTTACACATCGCCTTTCCTCTTGTGTCATAAAAGTATAATATAACTTAACTCGAATCAATCTTTTCATGTAATAATAAGTGAGATAATGGACAACCAGTAGGTTATTATCTCCGAGTAAACCTTGAGTTGGGATCACCCTGTCAAAGTTTATTTTGTGATTATGACCAGCTGACTGCACGTTATGCCGGATTTATTCAAATATGTGGAGAAGTGTTGCTAAGACGTTTCAGTTTTACACGCCGTCACAACAGTCAACAGAGAGAAATCTGAGCTCCCAGAAGATCTTCCAACAAAGACTCGAGCTTGTTTTACAAGCCGTGAACTCATTGCAGCATTAGTGTGTTTATTAGGAAAGTAAATAGGGTAAAACACAAAGTAAGTAAAACACAGACTTCTCTGTTATAAACATGCATACTGCTTCTCTTGGTGTGTGATTACAGCAGCTGCAGGAGAGTTAACAGCAGCGGCATCGCTGAACTCTCGTAAAAGCAAATCATTAGCTTCTAATCAATCTCTGTCACACAGCGGTCCTCGGCGCGCCGCTACTGGAGCTGACTGTGCTGCAAAACTACATAAACGTCACGATAAAGGGGCCCTTCAGATGGAGAACGAAGAGGACAAAGAAAGAGAAGTCACTCTGGAAGATCTTCCCACACATGATCTATAACGTCTCTGTGTTCAACGGCAGGAGCAGTCACACGGTGAGTCAAGTCAAGTCACCTTTATTTATATAGTGCTTCTGACAATACAGATTGTGTCAAAGCAGCTTGACAGCATCAAATGTGACCCTGGAGCACAAAACCAGTCATAAGGTTCAATTTTTTGAAATTGAGATTTATGCATCATGTAACAGCTGAATAAATAAGCTTTCCATTGATGTATGGTTTGTTAGGATCGGACAATATTTGGCCGAGATACAACTATTTGAAAATCTGGAATCTGAGGGTGCAAAAAAATCTAAATATTGAGAAAATCATCTTTGAAGTTGTCCAAATGAAGTTCTTAGCAATGCATATTACTAATCAAAAATGAAGTTTTGATATATTTACGTTAGGAAATTTACAAAATATCTTCATGTAACATGATCTTTACGTACAGTTTTTCTCGATTGCTTAAACACATTTCTTGAAACTATGCCTGGAAAATACTATATTTTCAAAATAGCGTGTCAATAATGCAAAAGGAGCGTGCAGAAAAACACTCGCTCACTCACTTAGCCAAACAGGAAAGTCATTTCTTTTGCACTTTGTCGCTCTACCAGAACTACATGCTTCTTAAAAATGGGAACGTGACGTTGGGCCCTCTGGACTTTTCCACCCGGATCTGTGTGAGTGTCCAGGCCCAGTCGGAGTCTCTGCCTCTGGCCTACAAACCCAGCGAGCGGCAGTGCGTCGAGACGCCCAAAGGTAAGCCAGCTCCATCAGCCTTTTCACTTTCAGATTGCCCGGCGAACAGGTTTGAGCAGTATGTGACTGTTGAGGAAGCCTATCATTTTATCAGCTCATGCACAATGCTTGACTGTAACTGAGGTGTTTTCCCAGCGCGCTCGGAGCTGGACTTCCTCATGCACAAGTCTCCAGACGGTGTGAAGGTGTGTGTGTGTGTTAATGTGTAACCCGCTGGAGTTTCTCTCTGCTGTAGATCCGTTCAGAGATCAGCTGCTGGCTGCTATGTTGGGCGGCGTGCTGCCGTCTGCGCTCTGTCTGTGTGTCCTCGTTGTGCTCGCGGGACTCGTCCACTGCTACATCACTGACCACAGACAGAGACTGCCCAAGAGCACGGTATTACAACAAACACACAAACCTAAATCTCACGCTACTAACACAATATTTAGAGACCGCTGAGGATGGGCTTGTTTGACCTCCAGCTACCAGAGATTCAGCCGGGCTGGGACAGAATTGATGTTATGAATGTTTCTACTGAATAATCTAATGCATCCCTACTGAATAAAAGTATTAATTTCTTTAAAAAATAACAATAATGTGCAACTAATGTCTGGTAGACAATACTATTCAAAAGTTTGGGGTCAGTACGATTTTTTTCTGACAGAAGTTAATACTTTTATTCGCATTAGGACGCATTAAACTGATCAAAAGTGACAGTTAAAGACATTTGCACAATGTTACAAAATATTTCTGTTTCAAAAAATAACTTTCTATTCATCTGTGAATCCTGAAAAATAAAATGTATCACAGTTTCCACAAAATATTGGGCAGCAAAACAATTTTCAACATTGATAATAATCAGAAATGTTTCTCGAGCAGCAAATCAGCATATTAGAATGATTTCTGAAGATCATGTGACACTGAAGACTGGAGTAATGATGCTGGAAATACAGCTGCGCATCACAGAAATAAATTACAGTTTAACAGATATTCCCATAGAATAGAGTTATTTTAAATAGTAATAATATTTCACAATTTTACTGTGTTTTTACTAAAAAATAAATACAGCCTTGGTGAGCATAAAACACTTTTTGTTACTAACCCCATACTTTCGAATGGTAGTGGTTCATGTAAAGGAAAGATGCCTATGAATACAGTATTATCACAGAAGGGTTTCAGAATAGATCATTCTGTTTATTTGAGGATGGGAGTCATATCATGTGATGTCGTCATCAGTTGACAGTAGTAATAATAATAATAATAATAATAATAATTCCTTACATTTATATACATTTTCTGGGCACTTAAAGCGCTTTACATAGAAGGGGGGGAATCTCCTCAATCAGTAGTTTTGATCACATTATACCAGCGCTGAAGTAACAGTGTACTCTTGTCGTTTCAGCACGTGGTTGGTATGAGTGAAAGGTTTCACACTTTCCAGCCAGAACAACAATCTCCAACAATCATCGTTAACGTGGTCAAAATGGGTTTGTATGGAGAGGAGTCGGCTCTGCCTCAGCTGGTGTGCGGTGAGGACTCGTCAGCGGCGGTGTGTTACGCTCAGCAGCACGCTCCTCCGTTACCGGACGGGGAGGACTCTGTGAGCGTGGACTCTGAGCCACAGGAGGCCGCAGATTACGGCATCGTGCTGCCAGCCGCTGTCGAAGCCGAGAGCAGCCCATACCGGACACAAGAGCACACAGTGCTGTCTGTGAACGCCTGTGAGGATGAGCCAGACGATCAAGACCAAGCACAGATATTCCTGGACTGGAGCCCAGAGACTGGAGAACTGAAGATCCCTCTGATGGGCTTGTTAGGTCTGGAGCATGAAGCTGAGATCCAGACTGAAGCGGTCACGCTGCTGCCTAACCTCATCCTGAGACAGAGCTCAGGGGAAAGCTGCGAGCCGGAGCCGGACCACTTCATCAAGATGGAGCGAGACTGGGGCCTCGTCATCCACTCCAGCCCAGACTGACAGAGGAATAATGCTGCTGCTGCTGCTGCTGCTTCAGACTCCTGACAGAATATGAAGATTGCTATACACTTGCTATTTATCTTATCTGTGGTGTTCAGGTTTAAGGTGTACACATGAGACGATATTAGGGCTGCAAAACGATTAGTCGTGATTAATCGATTCAACATAGAAGTTTATGTTCACATACTATATGTGTGTGTGCTGTGTATATTTATTATGTATATATAAATACACACACATATATGTATATATGAAGAGTTCATTTGCAGAAACACATGTTTTTTTTTTGTCCTGCATTCCAATTAATATCAAACTGCTGTTGTGTTGTTTTGATTAAATAATAATAAACGCAATAAAAACATGATTTAAGAAAATTTATAAAAACAAAGTTATCTGTTTTTGCAAATAAACTCTTCATATTTAAAAAAATTTAATAGATATTTTATATATAAATCTAACATATTTTTCCTTAATATATACATGAAAACGGCTTGCCATACACATACAGTGTTATCAACGAGTGCGTATTCGGAAGAGATTTTCGCATTTTTGATTCTAACATATCATATTTCTGTTTAGGACTTCGTAGTGTTGTAATACACTGTAATGTGTGGTTGTTTGTGTTTGTGACAGACTCGTGTGTTTCTCTTCCATCCGGGCGCTGTCCGTCTCCATGACAACCACAGCCGCGCCGCACAACACAACAGTCAGCCGCGACAATCTCAAGACAAAACTCTGTAACGTTATCGTTAAATGTTGTCGCTGTGTAAAGATGTCGAGCACTCAGGCTGAAGGCGTTATAAGAAATATCATCCGGGAAATCGCGCAGACGTGTTTAAGCAGAGGACAGACTCTGTCCGAGACGCTCATCGCCTTCACGGTGAGTGACTGGCACTGAATGAATAAACCAGCCGGTGAATGTTGTAGCTCCAGCATTTACTTGTGTGTCCAGGTCAAAGCTGTCGTGCTGGACCCCAGGAACCGCTTTAACGTGGACAGGACTCTGACGAAGCAAGATGTGCAGAAACTCATAGAGGTGAATGCATAATTCGTGTTTACACAAGCTGCTGTGTTTGGTTTTCTGACAGACTGAAACTGCTTAACTGAAGCAGCCTTCGTATAGCAGCCCTTAATTGGACCTTCGTGGACAAATTTGGGCACTAAGGTCTCAGGTGTGATCCCAATTTATTTTTTTGTTTTGTTTTTTTAAATTAACGTCATATCACTATCTTCGATAAAAAAAAGTTTTTATGATTTTTGTTTGTTTTTCTTTATTTACCTCTAAAAGTACCATATGTTATGTAAAATATGCCTATTTTTATGTTATATTTAATATTTATTTTACTTCAGTAAAAATTTTTAGTAAGTTCAGACAGCCCAAACCTAACATTTTGGTGACTTTGGTATGATACTATAAAAATACAAAAATATCAAAGAAATCAATAGCCACTATATGGCTGTAGTACTCGATGGCTGCATATAGGCTGCAATGTTGTAACGTTCTTAACCTCTAAAGTTTTAGATTTTATCACAAGTTAAAAAAATGCCAAAACAAACTTACAGACAAATCTAACCATGCTATAAGGAAAAGACAAAGTAGGAGACAGAGTATTTTTCAAATTTCAGTAACTCAAATGGTACCAAACAGGTAAGAATAAACAGTAAACCTAACAAGTAGCATGTTCCAGACATTTTTTGTTTGGAAGCATCAACAAATCTTGCGGTAGGACTTTGATGTGCCTTTGAAGTATGTGTGTGTGTGTATTTATATATACGTACATAATAAATATACACAGTACACACACATATAGTATGTAAACATAAACTTTTATTTTGAATCGATTAATCGTGACTAAATTGTTGTGCAGCCCTAGACGATATAATGAAGGTTTTTTTGTTGTCTCATTCACTGTGAACACGAGACCTCATGAACAAACCTCCGTTCTCTAGCTTCTGTATTAAATTACATTTAATCATGGCCAACACTTTGCCCCAAAAGCCCCAGACGTGCACGGCCTGGACACTGCTCAAGGGAAATAAACTCAGTTCTGGAAGCGATGTTTGAGCCAGTCAGAAAACTAACAGTACTCCGCTATTAAAAAGTCTATTTCACAGCAAAGCCCTCCAGAAAAATTCCCTGGTAACACATCTACTATAATAGAGTGAAATATGTGTGATTGTCAAACCCCTTGTGCAGAAGCCAGATTTCATTTGAAGGGAATGAAAGCAAGGCTGTGAGTTTGTTCAGTACTGTTGTGTACGTCAGTGAGTTTCTGATAATACATTGCAAATATGTAAAGAAGTGGACAAATAAACCATGCTTTGTGAACTTTAGAAACATAAGACAGTATGACATTGTGTGTGTACTTATCAATGACAATGATTCAGAAACAAAGGAATCGAAGGAATTCACGTTTTATATTATATTGTATATATCTATTTTAATTGTACATAAACCAAATGATAATTTTTATTGAAATAGTAATACTTGTAGTTACAAAAACATGTGTTTATTGTAAAATGTGATGAACATCCAGATTAATAAAGGGACTATAAATACTGCAGATTATATACATATTACTACAATTCTGTCATTTTTAACCTGTCATAAACATTAAATATGAACCTGAGAAGTGTTCAGTTGAAGCTTTTCTTCCCATCATCACTAATAAATACAGCTATATGATGCAATTTATTGTGCTATTTATTTACAGTCTCTCACTGAATGTTCAGTTACACAATGATTTATTACCATTGACTTTTACAGTGCAACAGCCTTCAGAGAAGTAACTAGCTTATCTAAATGATTTGCAACTAATTTAGCATTTAATGCGGGTCAGAGTTGAGTGATTGCTGCTGTTCACTCAACTGAAGCAGTAAGAACAAGTGTACATGTCAGCGGTGAATATAGGAATATGCACTCTTAAAACACTTTCTCTTCAGTGGAGTTTGATTCAGTGTACACATACTATGGCAAGCCATTTTGACTTTTATTCATTCTCAGGATATGAATTCTTGATATCAACAATTCAATTTTCACTAGTTAAAATGTTAATTCTTGATATCAGGAATTAGATTTCTACTAGTAACAATTGCTATTTTTGATATCAGCAACTACATTTCCACTAGTAACAATGTTAATTCTTGATATCAACAATGACATCATCACTCGCAGAAATTGAATTTTTGATATCAGCAATTACATTTCTACTAGTAAAAAATATTATTCTTGATATCAATAATTTATATCCTGGGAATGGCAATAGGCAAGCCGTATTGACTTTTATT